AATGCAGAAAAATGTGTTAATTTTAATATTACATGGCCCAATTTTGCAGGAATCAATAAATATACAAAGATTGATTAATTAGGAACACGTAGCAATAATTTTGGACATGTAGCCCTTTAGGTAAGTACGATTTTTAACACATGAAAAAATTTATGTATTAACAGTGTTTGCAATTTCATGTAGACGAAAAGGAAGGTGTGCAGCAAAGTGAATTTTTGGACTCGCCATTGTAAAAGGCCATGCAGGGTGCATATTTATATTTGTGGACGGTAGCCAACCACCATAAACTCCACAGCTTTTATTTGATGACTTTTGTTCCATTTCCGAGAGGTGAGTGTGGCTTCTTTGGAAACAAATATTCTATGTGAGTAAAACATAATTTAAGCTGAACTTTTAAATGTATAATAATTTGGGCACTGTTTTGTATTAGGTACGTAACAGCGCGGTAAAATGCCGCTTGACGTAGCGCCTGGCGACCTTATCCACTGGTGCATTACCTCATACCAGCACTAAAAAGAATAAGGTACTAACAAAAATAAGTAGGTAGTGAAGTTTATGTACCTATTTACTGTAGAAACTGCGTTTGTATGTATGCCATTGCCAGCAAACTAAACCAACAACTGTCAACTTTCACTATGGAAATATACCTAATACAATTCACCAAGGAAAGGCCAACACTGTTCCATGTAGAAGCTCATAGCTCACCCAAATAGCACAAAGCTCGATTTGGTGTTTAATACATCTCCTCGCCGACAGAACTGCTTCCACTTTTTCGCCAGGCTTGCGTCCGTAGGAAACGAAAAAAAAACTTATATTGCCGCTTTCCTTTTGTTTTCACTATTACACTTTGATACTGCACACTTCATTTTGCTTTGTAATGTCTCAGTAATTGTTTAAAACCACGCAGAAATATTAACGCACAAATATTTAAATTATTTGGTTTTTTCGTATGCTCACAATCAACAATTGCACCAAGATGACATCACGCACACAGCTGATTCTGTCAAAATCACAAAGAGCGGATTAGCGGTACCGCGATTGGCGCAATCTCTATTTCTATTTACTTCTATTAGACGTCTACATTTTGAGACACTGGCCCGTAGTCATAGTCAAAATAAAGTCGACTTTAAAGTTAGTTGCAACTTTTTGACATAATTTTCAATGGGATATCTGTCAAAAAAGCTGCAACTAACTTTAAAGTCGACTTTATTTTGACTATGACTACGGGCCACTATTTGGAACGAACTGTGAACACCCCAAATATAACCAGTAAACAACCTTCGGTAAATTTGGCGACTGCCTTCCTCGGGGATGAATATGCTAGGGATGAAATTATTGGTACACACGCCATCCAAGCACGCAGGGTTGCTTTTAAGCAACAAAAAGTAATTAACTCCAAATAGTTTCAAAAAGTATACACCCCTATTGCGAATGTCGACTGGCAGTAGATAAACGACTATTAAGCGGTTATCGATTATCGATGCTATTGCGAGTGTCGCTTAGTCGCTCAATTAGCGACTGTGAATACTTTTTAATCGCTCATCCTTCTATTGCTGTTTTTTAGTCGTTGGAGTTTGCGTTTATAAAATTTACATAAGAAAGTGGTACTATAATGGATAAAAAGTAAGTCAATTGGGGTGGGCTTTAGTAGTCAGCCGCACCTTGTGTTTTAAGAAAACCAGGTGGAATTAACAAATGAAACTTGGTCAGGATGTTAAGGGAGGTATCCTCTAAAACATGTATAACTAAAAAATATAAATAATATCATTGTTTATAAGTTATTTGTTGTTAAAATTTCTTAAGTCGTTCCACTTGGTTTCCTTAACAAAAAAGCATTTGTGCATACTTTTATATATATAAATGCACATAACACTACTTAATACTTCACACACTTTTCTTTTAGTTTATCTTGTATATAAATCACTTTAATTAAACTTTTATCGACTTGTAAATTACATTGAATTTCACGCATATTTACAATAACACATGGTTGCAAACTGACACATAATATGTGTTGCCATATTGTACAAAACAATATAGGGGAAATCAATACAAAAGAAAATGTTCAACAGGGGAAATCAATACAAAAGAAAATGTTCAGCTCCTTTTCTTCGCAAAACAGAAAGGAGAATTCTACTGCCTGAGGGTTATAATCCCTAAGTGCGGCCGAAGGCCGCCTACGCAGATAGCTGTTCTCTGCAAAAGGTGTTCAGCTCCTTTTCTTCGCAAAACAGAAAGGAGAATTCTACTGCCTGAGGGTTATAATCCCTAAGTGCGGCCGATGGCCGCCTACGCAGAAAGGTGTTCTCTGCAAAATGTGTTCAGCCCCCCCCTCTTCGGCAACACAGAAATAATAATTCTACTAAGTAAAAATTCCGAATTAAAAATCCGCTTTTATTATTCAAAATTCCAGTCTGGTGGCACTAAGTTGTATGTTATTTTGCTATCTTATTCATCGTTTATATGAAAACTTTAACAATAAATTATATAAGAACTATAGGGTTGCTAGAAAAAAGGGGGGTAGTTTTGAAATCAGGGGGTCCTATTCTACCCCCCCTCATCCCCCCTTTTTCTAGAATTTGCCGTCCGTCTACTAAAATTTTCCCGTCAATTGAACTGGAAGTTGTAAAAAATTGTGAAATTTACATATGCATGTATGTGTCTGATTTACAGATCAAAAATTATAAGCAACAAAAGGCAACTTGCGCGGTTGGTCGTACTGATGCAGGAGAGTGAAGACATAGGTAAAGGAATTTCCGGAAAGAGTAGGGTAGGAAGCTCCGCTTCTATTGGAAAAGATACATATACAATATTTCTTGTGCATATAACTCCGGCTACGGCATCCACAGTGTTTTTGCGCAGAACCAACATCAAAAGTTTATACAAAAAAACTGCATAATTTATTAATTGACTAGTGCTCGGAAATTTGAAATCTTTATTTTAAATTAAAGTTGAATTCTTTCAATACACTTGTTATGTTAAAGTTTTTAAACTCGGGTCACGCGTTTGGACACAAAAACCCAACATCATTGTACAAAAAACTTAACCGTACCGTATTTCTTAAACTTCCATAAAGTTTATTAATGAGGAAAAGAGCTTTTCCAGCAAATCATGTAAAGCCTAAAAACCGTGAAGCATCGGGAACGCAACTTCTATTCATAAAACTCACACATGTACATACACCTTCCAAGTCCAAGGGATCCGACGAATCTCGCAATTCCCTCCTTGCTTTAGCTAACNTAAATTTTTGTTAACTATGAGGTGAATGAAAATTTTCAACCCGGCCTAACGGTTTTGAAGAATTTTTTTGTTCTAATTTTATTTTTTTAGTCATAGAAGAATAAAAGTCAGTAAAGACAAGTCTTTTTTGTA